AACAACACAGGAATAGTGAGCCTCCCAGTCTCAAAGATGTTTTAAACAATGTGCCTTTTAAAGCGGGAGAAATTACTCTKTTTAAAGAGATGTGATTTTAATATATCCCTGTTTTGGGATTACTGACTCCAACATATACATGTTCTATTTCCACCAAAAAGAAATAATCCTATGATATAAAAATATTCAACTAAATGAAATGCAGTTTTAACATCGGAATTGTTTGTTTAGTTAGAATTCTGGTTTTACTTAGTTTAAGATATTTTAGGAGAAATTGATCCCAAGAAATTGAGTCTAACTATTCTTTAGAATAAAATTAAAGACATGCACACAGACCTACTGCAAATATTTAATGTGAAGTAAAATACAAGTCCTCCAGAGACCTTGCCCCAATTCACCAAAGTATTTAAATACATCTACAATAGTTAAGTACACATTAAATGTCCTAATATGCTCTAGGCCAAGTTTACCTCTAATTAGACTGCATGAAAGGTGAATACCAAGTGAAAACAATAATAGTAGAAGAAAATTCACTCTAAATTAGGAAAAACACAATAAAAAAAAGCAGTATGAGACATGTTGTTACCGGATTATCATTTGTAACCCCTGTGGGGGACAACACAAAAGGCTTCCTGAGTTTAGAAGAGTGTGTGTGCAACTGGCATGACACATGAAAGAGTGATAGGACGAGCAGCTCCAGATGGCATCGGGAAGCTACTCATCCCATTTCCTGCAACTTTTTTTTAGGTAACAATCAAAGATAATTAAAGTATTCATCCCTGATGTAATTCCAMAGTCATTATGGACTACAACTTTACTATATGAAAGACTTTTCAAAAACACAAGACTGATGTGATAGAAGTCAATATACTGAATAGATGCTTCAAAAAAACTGCTGTCAGCAGTAGCCATGGTTAATATCCTTCTGACATCTATTGGCCACTATGTATACTGCTCTCTTTTTTTTTTTTGGCACAGAAAAAAACCCTAAAACTATCATATATTAATAATCAATAGCCGGTGAAAAGAGAAGAAGGAAAATAGGCATTCACAAGGTTGATTAAAAGGAAATATTACAGAAATGCAGGCTTTGCTACTGAGCAAAGAGTTTTTTTCTATTCATAAGGACTAGAGATTCATAAAAAGAATTTTCAAGGCCGCTCCTGCTGACTTCTAGACAGACCAGAATAAAATTCTTGAATTCTATTTACTAAACCACAAATTAGAACAAGAAAATACTAAGCTTTCCCATCTGAATTTTTCAAGGAAAATATTAAAACTTCAATTACTTGATAACCTCAACAATTGCTACCTTTACAAAATGATGCCCTGGCACTGACTATTTCCCACTAAAGCATCTCCTGTTACATCTAACAAGTAGAACCTAGGAAATTTAAGCAAACATAGCTCAAACACTTTAACCCGACCTGAAAGTTGTAGTGTTCTACATTTTATTCACTTACACTCAGAGCCACCATAACTTTTGCGTTTATAGTCCTCAGAATATAAAACTTAAGCCATTGAAATTCTGATCAACAGCAAAAATTAAAACCACTGAAGCATGAATTGAACATATGGCTGTTCTTCACATTCTGTGTTGTGAGGTTCACTGGTGCATTACAATGGACTTATGCACAGGTGGCTGAAATAAGTGTTTTGTTCTCAGAAATTATTTGGTTTGAGAATTTAAAAAAAAAAAAAAAAAAAAAAAAAACATTTCTCACCTGTTTTGCAGAACAAATGACAAAGACACATGGCTCCAGAGATCTTTTTAGAGGACTCACATACATCCATGCTCCCCCACTTTTAAACAAAGGAACTTATTTTAGCTTTATTTCAATCTCCTTGATATCTAAGAATTTAATTACAATGAAATTTTTACAGAATTGCATTAGAGTTTTAAGTCTGATCATGAGGCATGTCACTATTACGAGCTAAAAGACTTTTAGCCAAGTTACTACAGCTGTTTTTATTCTGTATGTGTTTCCCACCTTCAATAGTTGAAGAAAAGCTAAGCCTCTTTTAAATAACCTGATGACATCACCCAGTTCACACAGCTGAACAAAAGGTAGAGGCCGGCTTCCGTTGGCTACCTAGAAACCACAGGTGTGAAATCACAGCAGATGGGATCACTAAAACACTAAATCACTGAAGCAGTAGATGGCAGCAATAACGCACAGAGCAGCAGCACTGCAAGCCATGGCTGTTTTTCCCTGATTTATTGGCCAGCACCCAATGACATTAAGCAAAARGGGATGAAGTCCCATTTAAAAATTGGATAGAAAGCTTTCTGTTCGCGGTGTAAAATGCCAACATACATTTGTACATCAGTGCATGAGACGCTACTAAGCTCTTACAGCTTTAGATGAAGTAATGCYGTCAGTTTTATGAAGGAGAAAAGGTCTTGGTTGCAGACTTTTGACTTTAACGATAGAACAAACAAACAGATGATCCCTCTTCTTCGCTGAAATTCAATGTAAACCAAAGATGGYAATTGATTTAATAATTAATAATGCTGAATTCCTATTTATTTTTAAAAGCATTTTATCTTCTTATTGGCATCAGCCCAGATTTTTCTACTGCCACATTTGGTATTGGTGACGAGGGTTCATCATAGCATATTTAATCATGCTTTCCCAGAAACAGAAAGAGATCCCTTTCAAGCATGCCAAGACACTAAGCAATTTATTTGCCAGAAGACCAAAAGACAGAGAAAACTGCGGTCATCCTCATCTTTATGCTACTACTAGCCACAACACCATATATTCTAACATGTCATGTCCCATTTTACTGTGAATGTGTCCTGATCAAAATGGAGCCTTGTTAGCTCTGACCTGTCTGCATCACGACATATCCCACTTTAACAATATTAGGCATCTGATGACCTCTTAAGTCGTTATCCCTATGAAGTTCTCCCATGGGCAGGTTAAATTTGATGCTGCTTTCACATATATATCTATCTTTGTTCTCTTCCATTAAAGGGTAGGACATTTCTTTGTTATGTGATTGTAGTCAGTGCGAGAGACGCTGTCTCTTGCTTTTTTAGATACTTACCCTAACTGCATTGCTTTTGGTTTGAAGGAAGGAGATGGAAAAACACAACTTAGCTCTGCCATTCACACAGCAGTTTTGGACATTTTAGCATTTTCTTCCATCTTATGCACAGTTTGTGGGGTAGAGAAATGGAAACCTCATTGTGAACATCATGAACCTCAGAGAACCTCAGTTAAATCACCTTGGGCATTAGGTTGCAAGTGCACCACGCACAAAATTCTGGCATGTCAGTAAAACTGCTGGTGGAACCAATTTTCCCTGTAGTGGTTTATTCACTGTACCCCCTCTACAAAGTTATTTAGATTATCTTGCAAGAGTATAGCTAAACTCGCACCAAATTTAAGCAACAGAGTAGAACAAAAAAAAATCAAGAAATTACCAATGTTAGAACACTAGGTGTCAGCACTCATAAATACCTTTATAGCAACTGGCCACATACATGTAATGATAGGGCAAAAAGGGATTATAAAAAGGCACACATGGATCTTGAGACARGTTTAGTCTCTGTGTTCATTTTCCCAGTCCATTAGACTGCTTACCAGTCAGAAATCAACCAGGAGAAGTGAACAAGAGTTCATACCAGCAACAGAAAGGCTGTTCATTTGGTGTTTATTCATGCTGGAAAAAAGCTTTGGCCACGCTCATCCATTGACACCATTCACAGCACTTGGGGATCCCAAGAAACAAGGGTACATTGCAGCAATGAGTGTCCTGTTCATGCCCACATTTCTTTATGGGGCCTAACTAAAGAACTTCGCTCCTCGGGGTTTTAATAATTTCAAAACGGAAAGCAAGATCCAGGCTACCTCCAGGAAAGGGCCTAACCACAGAATTATAATGAGTACTSACAGTAGTTCTCTGTGGACAGTCCAATAAAGCTTTTCACTCACAAATCGCAAAATATTTTACAAAGAAGTTAGCAGTTATGCACTATATAGTAGTGCAGCGTGACAACAATGTGCTTGCATGTGYCCCTCTCTGATCATCAGTATCCCATGCATTAACAGGGATTAGAGAGACTCATGAACCATCCAGTTCTCTAGCAACTCCCAAYGCAGTCTAGCAGTGAACTCAGTGTTTGAACTTTTTCGAATGTGATAATGTTTCCACAGTGGTTGTACAGCAGCATGTGAAACCACACACCTTGTTTCTGCAGGGTGGGACCTACAGAAGGGCAGGAGACACCACAGTTTGGGCAACTCCATAACAGCGTATGTGCTGAGAACTCTCCATGTCCTGCACTAGCTCAAGGATAACAGCTGGAACACCCAAAACCTGTGGTAATTTTTTCAAAAGCGATTTGTTAGATTCTTTTAATTCTCCTCCCTTGTTAGAAATAYGCATCAGAAAGTTTGCAGACAGAAGCATGGAGTACATGGGGAAAGCAGCAGCCCGTGGCCTAAGACCCACAGTTCTGAGCGCTGTTCCCTGMCCATTTTTCCACGGGACACCAAGTTTTACCGGCTAAAAGCCACCGCCGTTGGTTTCTCCAGCAAACCGGCCGCGTGGCCGGCGGCGCCTCGAGCCCCGCTGTCCGCGGCGGGGCCGCAGCCCGCTCACCTCATGGCTCCGCCGCCCCGTTCGCTTTCCGCGGGCACCTCCTCCTCGCACTCCCGCTCCTCGGCCTCTCCTGGGAACGCGGCCGCTGTCGCCGCCATGGCCCCGCCGCTCGCCCCGGCCACCCGGGCGCCGTCGCCTCAGAGCCGCCTCAGCGCGCGGGGTGGGGGGGGGGCGCCAACCGCTCTAACGGTCCTAGCGGCTCCAGCCCCACCCCCCCTTGGGGCAGCGCCGCCTCGACGGCGCGAGGCCGCCGCGAGCCCGCGCCCGCCCTGCCCGGGCCGGGGCGGCGCCGCCGCGGGGGCGGGCCCGCCTCGCCGCCGCCCCGAGGGGGACAGAAGCGGCAACACTCGCTCTGCGGCGGCTGTGCTGAGGGGACAAGGGCGGCCATGGACGATAAGGAAGCGGGGTTGGCGCCCAGGGCCCGCCGGGGGGCCAACAGCCACGACGGTAAGAGGGGAGCCCAGCTCTGAGCTCCTGCAGCGGCCGTCGGGGCTCCCGGGGCAAGCGCCTTCCCGCCCTCCCATTTTTTAATTTTATTTTTCCTGCCTCCGGGCGAAGTTTCCTTTCCCCAGCGGCGGGCGGCAGGAGGGGCGGCAGCAGCGGCTCCGCCTCGCCTCCCCGCGGGGCCCCGCGAGCCGCTCGGCCGCGGAGCAGAGCGGAGCGGAGCGGGCGCCGGAGCGCGGGCCGCGGCGCGCGCAGGTGGTTGGAAAGGCGCAACTTTGCGCGCCTGCCCCGCGGCGCCGCGGGCTCCGCTCCAGCCCCAGCGCGGAAGGAAGGCGCGCGAGCAGCCCTGGGCACTGCCGCGCTTGTGCAGCTCCGGGATTTTCGTTCTGTTTTGTTTCGTTCTCCCTGCAGGGCAGGGTCGCCACGATGAACAAATAACTAAGAGCGTCGTCGGGCGGGGACCCCCGCGGCGCGCTGTGTGTGAGGGCCGGAGCTGGAGGGCGGCTGTGGGCGCCCGGGGGGCAGCCGCTGCCTCGGGCAGGGAGGCCGCAGCTCGCCTGGACCTGTGTGTTTGCCCCACACTAGGCAGAAGTTCCTGCAGTGTCTGCTGGCTTTGGGGTTAATAGATGCGAATATGGGGTCGGGCAGGGTTTGCAGAAGTGTGCTGGGAATAAGGTCACTAACGGTTTCGGCTTTGGTCACTGCTTGAAGCTGCACCGTTTTTCTGTTGTGTGATGTCSAGCAACAGGTTACTGCAAAGCAGCGCTTTGTTTTGCGTGTTGGCAGTTGCCCCTGGAGAAGGAAACGTGTGTGCGAGGCGGTTTATCTGCAAAGGGTAACCCGAGGTGTACAAATATCAGTAGATCTGTTTGGGCCTCGTGCCTAATGGCACATGCCTGCTGTGGGAAAGGATCCACGTTTCATTCTCTGAGTATTTTGGCTATTAATAACTAGCAGTGGTCACTGCGATCCCGGCCCCCTCCTCTGTGTCTCTGCAAGCTTTCCAATTTATGTGCTACTGAGCATGCTTTTCTGTAGCCTTTTCTGTGTGGTTTGGGCTGTTTTGGCAGCTAAAGCTGCTTGGCAATTATCCTTGTCATCATAAAGTATCTACACTCTAACAGGCATTAGACGTGGTAATTTGATTAATCAGACGTAATAACTCTGGACCTCCCCCACATGAAATGCTCTGAGATACTCTGAAGAAACATTGAGTAGTTGTCAAAAGTAGCGGTCTGTGCTAATTAGCAAACACTTCAATAATGGCCATATTATTGCCTTGCTCTCTGACTGTCCTGGATTGGAGGCAGTGAAAAAGTGGTGACTTCTGCCTGTGCTCGTCCAGCCTGATCTCCATACATGTTTGGATTTAAGTGTGTCCTGGCAGGGTGTGGTGCTGAGGGGCAGCTCTCGCCACCGCAGCACCTGGGAGGAGCCCGCGCTTCCTGTGGACACTGAAAGGTTTGTTCAGATTGCCCAATCTCGCCCAGGAAAGGGAAGGATCACGTGTCACACCTCCAGCAAGAACAAGATAATTTCCTGTTTTACCACAGCCCCCAGCACTAGGTGTGTGCTACAAATTATTGATGTTGTTGAGCGAGCCAAGTGATAATTTCTTGCTAAAGCAATGGCAAGTGTTCCCATCAGCCTTAAAGATTTCCAAAGCTAATTCGATTAAAATGTTTTTGATGTTTGCTCTCTCCTTGTGGTCCATTTCTTAAAGATAGGCAGAGTTTGTTACAGACCTCCCCCTTATAAAATTTCTCTGATKAAGTTCCAGGTGTGAGTTGTGAATGTGTCAATGGCAAAAAGCAAGAACATTGCTGGAGGGTGAGGCAAGTGCAGTGTGGATATGGATTTAAGCTTTTGGAGTGTGGGACAGTGTTTAGCCCTCACAAAACTGAGCTACAGATTACTGAAGTTGAGAAGTCAAAGAGATAAAACACGAGTTCATTAAAAAATGAACTTTTAGCTGTTACTGCCTGATGAAGTGCTACCACCAGTTACTTTACAGAGGGGTTTCAAGGCTTAATTTCATTACTAGTTGCTTAGAAAACTTAGCTGCCCCAATAGCTAAAATAGCTAAGTGCAGTTATTAAGCATTTGTAATTCCTGCATTTAGTAAGGTAACAAAATATTGTATGTAGATCTAAAGCAAATGACCATTTCTGGAACTTTGAATGTCAGCCTGGGAGTGTTGGTGAATCTTTGACCTTATTTTGACTTTTATTCAACTAAGGAACAGCTACAGCAGGAGTTGGAAGGGTGAAAATGCAGTACAGTCTGCATAGTTGTAKCATCATCTGTGTTTTTGATGGTGTCTCTTTTGAAGCCATTATCTTATGTCTTTTCTCATTGTGTTTTTTCTTCAGCAGCTGCATACATTCAGTATACTAATAATAATTACTGATATGTATTTAAATATTAATGATCATGCATCTGTTGTATAAATAAGGCTTTTCAAGTTTTTTGTTTCTTTGTTTCTTTTCCTCTTTGGGAGGAATAAATTGCATTTCCCCTTTCTGGGTTTGATAATCAAGTCACATGGAGAAGTGAAGCCCAGTTCCCTGGACTCTCCACTACAATTTTCGCTAGAAAAGCAGTTTTCCTTACTTTCATTCTAGCTCTCTTGAGCTCATCTTGAATGTTACATAAACAGGCAAGAAATTAGAGCAGGCCCTTTCACTCATGAAAGAAAAGAAGAGGCTTTTCTTCCTTATCTGCGTAGACTGTGAATACTTTTTATGATACTAGGTGGACTATTAACTTGCAAAATGAAAAGAATACGTTCCTCCCAGTAATGAACTTACAGGTGTTGCCCAATGCTGGCAGTTGCTTAATACCTGTACGTGTAGATGTTACATTTCCTTGACTTTCACAGTAGATCTGGCTATTTGTTTTTTCCATTATGCAGCAATAACTTTATGGGGCAACATCCTGAGTTAACTTTCCATAGAGAAACTTTAAAGTGCTATCATGTGACATATCCTTGGGGGTTATTATAACGGAGGATACAAATTACAGAAGTAATGCCTTCGGAAGTATTGAATAACTATGAAATTTGAGATACTGTGYGTTGGCTTGTAGTTTGACTTTTGAACTAACCTAGTGAGTGTGGCCAGTGTAATAGTCCTAAAAAGGATATATTTCAAGGGATATTCAACTTAAATATACCAGTGTAGTTACTTTTTCTAACAGGCATGCTTGGTTTTAAAACGTTCATTTCTCTTTTTTGGTTCCAGATGACACTAATAGTGGCCTTGGTTTGTGTGGATGGATCCTGGTGGCTGTTTCACTTTTCTTCACCATTATTACGTTTCCTGTATCAATCTGGATGTGCATAAAGGTAACTGCTCGCCAGCACGTTGGACTGAAATGTTAAAAAATGCAGGATGCTTCCTAGTCATTATTACTGTTTACTATATTAAGAAAGAAAAAGAGGAGAGGGGTTGGAAAGAAAATAAACAGACCTAAATATTCTTTCTTGGACTGTTGCAGACAGTATATAGACTAATTTTTAGAGGGGATGTAAGATAAAAAATATAAAAACTTGAGTGTGTGTGCATGCGCAGGACAGATTCCTAGAAGAATGTCATCTATAATAAAGCTTGAGCTTGATATTTTCCAGTTYCCAGAATGGGGGAAATAATTCTTGCTTTGTTTTATCTAATAGAGCCCATCAGAATTAGAGCTGGAAACTCTCTGCTGGATCTTGTCCACTGCAATTTCTCATCCAGCTGCCAGGACATTCCTGATGGCTGTTTTTAGTGTTCAGTCCTGCCAAGATGAAGCTGTTGCTGCTTCTGCTCTTGCTATATGATGCCTCAGCCCAAAGAATATTTCTTTGGGAAAATCCTCATTACTGTTCCTTTTCTTGTTTGCTTTTGACAATAGAGTTTAAACTAAAATTCTCAAAAGCATCCAGTGCAGAAATGAAATGTAATGGATGTTGCATATCACACTTGAGACTTTTTATTCTATTTTGTAGGTAGTTTGAAATCCATAATTTGGCTTCTGGGCTTATGAAAGCTCCTGCATGATATCTGACTTTTATTACAGATTATAAAGGAATATGAACGAGCCATCATCTTCAGACTTGGACGCATCTTAAAAGGGGGAGCAAAGGGACCAGGTAGGTCCTGTGCTATGTTCTTAATATTYGTTCTAAGTGATTGACAAAATAATAGATGTGTAAAGACATTATATGTAGACTAGAATTCTGCAACTCCCAGTGAAAAGAAACTGTTACTTTACACAGAAGAGACAGTGAATTAATTATCTGTGAGTCTTACCCAAATCTCCTTAGTTAATGCATATTCTTGAGGTTGAATCAAGAGTGCAGAATGCAAAAGGAAAAGCATTGATGCTATTGTGTACCTGAATGACCCATTGTCATACCCTGTTGGGTGGCTTTCATGTACAGGTTTGTTCTTTGTCCTACCCTGCACTGACAGCTTCATCAAAGTGGATATGAGGACCATCTCCTTCGATATTCCACCACAAGAGGTAAGTCTGTACTTGCCTTCATAATTCATGTACGTTAGCAGGTTTCTTTTTGTGTGTTGTTCTTTCTTCCCTGTCCCCGTATGGGGTAGCATGTGGTTTTCATGTAGATTTTTGCTTTCTATTTGTATAGGTTTAATGTACTGTGAAGAATATAAGCTAGATATAGGTTTGGTAAGAGAAGATCTCTGAAAGAAAATGAATTATGCTGTCCTGTAAGGAACAAGCAAGAGAACTTAATACTGCCTAATAGTTGAAATGGAAACGATTTGGAATCAAGACCACTAGACTTCACGCTTGTTTCTGTCCTTGTTTCTGAGAATTCTRGAAAAGAAGCAGTGATCTTCTGTCAATTTATCTAGATTATATATTAGCTAACTAAAATAACAGGATGACATTATTATCAAATGCTATTGATAGACACACATATTAATGGCCCACTGTCTTACAATCTACGTGGGTTTAGTGTTTACACTTCTATATCCTGCTACAATAGTAGCTTTATGAAGCTGTGCTCCATCTGATGTCCTGTCTTACAGTTTGAACATCCTAAAGAAATACAAAAAAGGAAAGCAATATATTTCTAGTCTGTTTTTCTTAGAAGTTATTTTTAAGCAGAATTTCTGAACAGCCGTAAGCTAGCAGAATTAAATGATACTGACCCACCAGATAACAAAAGAATAAAAACCAAACAGCCCTCTACGAGAATAAGTACTCAAGAAATTGCATGTAAATGACTATAACTGTATCCCTCATGTATCTGGTGCAAAAAGGAAAAACTGCTTGATGCAACCTGTCTGGTGCATCTGTTTTCTGTCAYATTTGCTAGTTAGTCCATGACTCATCACTAGTTGCAGATTTAGATAAATAGTAACTGTCATAGTACAGTCTGAAGGGTAATTGGAGGAAACCTAATCACTGGCAGATATAATGTGATTRCAGCTGCTGATGCACCATTAGTGAACCCATCAGTTCTACAGATTTGCTTTTGACTTGATTAAATTATATGCATAGGTTTAGGTTTGTTTGATTTTGTTTTTGTTCAATAGGTAAAAGCAAAAATACATTTTTATCTGTACAACTTTTTTAACCTTACACTATTGTGAAAAGCATGCTAAAACCAATTAGTTGAGGAAACAAAGCAAGTAAGTTTTGAAGCAAGTAAGTCTTGACCTTTTTCCATGATCATATGGCTTTGGTTTCTTTGTTTGTTTTTAAGATAAAAATATTAGTGATAGTCTCTCTTAGCATACCCTCTTCCTTCAKTCTCTTTGCCTGTAAGACTTCAAGAGTGTGTCTTTAGCGAGCGCATCTTCTGCTTAACATACAAAAACTAGATCACTGAATTCTTTGAATCTTGTCCTGAATTGTTCACTAGTTGGATTTCCTCTGCAAGTTGTCTAAGCAATCACCAGATACTGTCATAGCATATAGTGACATTTAAATCGGAAATACTTGAAGAAGGACAGAAAGCTTCTAGATCATAGGAGAGATTTCTAATTAAATGCACAAGTAAGACTCCTACCTTGGCAGTGTCTCATGCCATCTCATTAAAGGAAAAAGTAAAGTAGCTAGATTGCTATGTGAGCAGCTTATAGTTCTACTTGTTGTTGTTGGCATGTAAAACAGTGGAAAAACATTTTTTTTCAGCAAGCCAGTGAGGGAAGAGTGCATCTCAGTAGTCTCAGTAGCAAGCTGCACCTTCTTCTAATCCTCATCTATCAAATAAGCACTGTGGAAGTAAATCTGCATAATGACTTTTTTCCTTCCATTTTTCTCTTTCTTCTTTTTACTCRCAAGTTAGCATATTGTATTTGTAAGTGGATTCATGCAGCTGAGTGCTTCTTGCTCACTCTATTTGTGTGGCTGTCACACGGGATATAATTATCTGTGGATTGTAGTAAGCTTCTGACTCTAATGTCCTGTAGTAATAAGATAGGATTAGATGTTTTTATTCTGTACCTACAAGCCCTGTTCTTCTGAAATTGGGAAAGTACTTGCCAGACTTCAGTATTTCAGGGCATTAATTAGTCACAAGCTGGGAACTAAGCAGAAATCTCTGCAGTAGAGCATTATATAGCAAGTTCCKTTTTATTAAGTTTCTGCAGTTCTAGAACGCAACTTGTGCAGCTGTTGCTGTGGCGGAAGCTCTCGCACCCTTCCGTCCCRTCCCAGAATAAACAGCAACTGAGAGCTGCTTCCAGTAACTTTGGCACCTGCACTATGGGAAACTCCCAGCTGAAATGCATCTCATCTTTCCTCACCTGCTTTTTAAATAGGTTGTCTGTTTTGCTCTTGTTTTATAAACTGACACATCCGGACACACACATCTTGCATTGTCAATAGTCTTGTGACTGAAGTTAAATGGAAGTGAGGATCTCGTGTTCTGTATTTGCAGTGGTACTGCTATCATTAACCTTCCTACTACTATCATTAACCTAGAAAACTTAGAATGAGCCTTTCTTCAATGWTTCTACTGTGCATTTTTGACTTGGGAGCGATATAACCCATTTTGAATGGAATGATCCCCTATCTCTGCATTTAAAGTATTTTTGGAGGGTTAGGCCTGTGTTTTTATTCAGCAGTCTTGAGGCTTGGTCTCTAATTATGCACACGTCTTGAAGTCCTGTACAGTCAACTTGCCTCCCGTATGCCCGCTATTAGAAGCCTCACTGAAACACCTAACCTGTTATCGTGAAACTAAGTTTTCCAGATGAAAGTGCATGGGCATTCTGGTATAAATTCTGTTTCTTTGTTTGTTTTTTAAGGCAGTTACTTTACTATGGGAAAATTAACACTGTGTCCAGTAAAACAAGCGTGTCACTATGTTGGAATCATTAATGGTTCTGCTTAATTATTACATGTCCTTCCTCATTGCTTTTTAGATCCTGACCAAGGACTCCGTGACAATTAATGTAGATGGAGTGGTTTACTACAGAGTCCAGAATGCCACCCTTGCTGTAGCAAACATAACCAACGCTGACTCTGCCACGCGCCTGCTCGCGCAGACAACTCTGAGGAATGTTCTGGGGACCAAAAACCTTTCTCAGATTCTCTCCGATCGTGAAGAGATCGCTCACAGCATGCAGGTATGAGGAACCCGACCTTAGCACTCCTTGGAACCATCAGTTAAGCAGCAATSCCCTCACATATAGGTGAGGACTGGCTTATCGCTTAGAAGCTAAAACAGAAAAGCTATGGGGAGATGTTGAGATGGCATTCTATATAGTCAACATAAGTGAATCATAAAATTAGATACCAATGAGACAAGTGGGAAGAGGGGTGCAGGAGAGGAAGGCTTTTCTGGATTAGTAAGTCAGTACTCGGAGCTGTTGAAGAGCTAATCAAGCTTTGTTTTAAAGTGTTCATTTAAAAGTCATGCTTGCATAATTATAAAAGTGTAGTGTAAATACTAAAGCCTTTACACAGAAAATCTAAGAATTGTAAGGTAATTTAGTCCTTCAAATTTGGATATTTGTTTGCASCTAGGTGAAAGGTTTAACTTAATTGTACTACCTTAAATAGGCCACCCTTGATGAGGCAACAGATAATTGGGGCATTAAGGTGGAACGTGTGGAGATCAAGGATGTGAAACTACCTGTCCAGCTGCAGAGAGCAATGGCTGCAGAAGCAGAAGCTGCCCGGGAGGCAAGAGCCAAGGTAATAACTGCACTGTGTAGGTGTCTGTGGGGGATCAATGGCATTCTGACACTGAATGTGAGGAAGAATAGRTACGTGGGACCTTGAAAGGAAATAGAAGTAGCTTCTGTGTGATAGAAAAGGCAGAACCAGTGAAAGAATATAGTAAAAAGGAAGTCACTTGATCAAAGCAATGAGGGATCTTTTTGGTTTATAAAAAGATAGAATTCTTAGAATCTTTGGAAAAGAAGGTATGTGATGCAATGGTAAACAATTTCATTTTGTTCCTCAGGTAATTGCAGCTGAGGGTGAAATGAATGCTTCCAGGGCCCTGAAAGAGGCATCCATGGTTATTACAGAGTCACCTGCTGCTCTTCAGCTTCGTTATTTGCAGACCTTGACCACCATTGCTGCAGAAAAGAACTCCACCATTGTCTTTCCCTTGCCCATAGACATGCTACAGGGCCTCACCGGTGCAAATCGCTAGATACATCGGRAAGATGTTTGTTGGTTTGGTTTCTTTCCTCCCACAGAGAGTGTCTGCAAAACTGAATTGTCTGTGTATTAAAGCTTAGGGCACTRTTTGCTTACGTGGGTTTTCTGAGATACCTTTTTTTGTTCTATCGGGTATATGATGAGGAAACTTGCATCTAATGTTTGCAATTAAAATATTTAACATTCAAAATCTATCCAGAATTAGTACAAGCAAATTGTTATCTTAACACGTGTTCATATTATCCTGGATGAAAAACCTATAATCTGTAGCCTGCACTTCTCAAATAATCTATTCAACTGATGGGGTTGAGAATAAGGAGATGATCCAGTATTTGGGTAGAGGTTACTTTCAAAAGCCATGTGTGCTTTGAGAGAAGTATTTCCTTTAATGAAAGGACCTGCGGTCCTGTAAGGGAAAGTGAACAGTCCCAACTGTATTCTCTTGGACTGCAGCTATTTCAGCTAGCCCTATGATCACTGTCAGAGGGCTTGGTCCTTTTGCTTGCTTACGTTAAGAAAAGTAACAAAGGTGATGTAGGAGAGGGTAGTAGCAATTTCTGAGAATCAGGCTCACATATTTCTAAATGGTTTCTCATTTACAAGAAGTTATTGGTCAACATYACTGAAATGTAGTTTTTCACCTCTGTTCCAAAGTACAGGGATGGCATGGACACAGTATGCTTGCAGACACTGGGTGCTGTTGGGAAGTTTTGTCCATACAGATTTGTGCCTCTCTAAAGCACTGAAAAGTCTCTGGGTATGCCTTTACCTGGACCTCTTTTAAAAATTCATGTCCAAAAAAACAGAAAAGGGGACCAGTGTGTAATGACTCTTTTAAATAGTTTTCCTTAATTTTAGTCATGGTTGAAATGCTCTTATCAGGGTCTAAACTGGCAAATAAGAAACAGCTGAAACTGGGTGGAGGGATAGGTAACAGAAGATGCTGTGCTGCTTACCTGGCTATTCTAGCAGCTTGGTCTTTAATTGGTGRTGCAGCTCCACTACATTATTGATTGTGATGCTAGGGATTTGTACTTGATTTTACCAAAGATGAAAACATCTTCTATTTCCATAGTCTTGATGTGCATATCTGTTAAGCATATGCAAAGTGTGACAACAGTTTAGCAGACAAAATTACAGATTAAAGTGAGATATGAATCAGAGTCCATGTTGAGGAAAGGCTCGAGCTACCACTGTTGATTGGGAGATGAGAATGAAAGCAAAAAAAAAAAAAAAAAAAAACAGGTGATTAAGTGTCCTTGTTCTCACACTGGTCAGCATAAAGTCTGTATCTCGTGTTTAATCACTTTTCTGCTATGATCAGTTTTGTACTTACAGCTGTTATTTTTAGTAACCACTCATTCTGTTTAAATGTATCTTGATTAAAAGTGGCAAACTGGCCCCAGATTTAGAAAAAAGGATGCCTGAACACTGTAAGAGCATGAGCTCATTGTTGCTGCTGTGTGTTTGACTGTGTGCTGTGAATTAATATTCCTTTGCATCATAAAAGCACTATYTCCCTCTGCATGTGTGTCTATTTCAGTTAAAAAAAAAAAAAAAACTACTAAACCTATATTAAGGGAGAGAAGTATGGTTAACCAGCCTGCAATAACTAGTGGTTCTGTATTCATTTATTTGTAAGGGGAAACAAAATAACAGCTTGCCACTAATCCCCARGGAAGAGAAGAGAATCTTAAACTCTCACTGCTGCTGTTGGAGTGTAGCCACCCCTGTGAATTCTTGTTGACAACAGCAGCACGTGTTGTGCTCTTATCTTGAATCACAAAACAAAAAAAGCAAAATCCTCTTTGCCTGCCTTCTTGAAGAAGTAGAACAATGTTAGTTTATTATGGTCTCAAAAGCTTCTGATCTTTTTGAGGTAGGAAAAAAGTTAGACTACTTTAGACAATAAAAAGTATCCTTTCTGTGAACATGCGGTAGAAAGTATATTTTTAAAAAAGGCACAAAGATGGTACAGTCCTTTTCAGGGTGTTTTTGTTTCAAGAAACTTAAATTCTGCCTCTATTGCTTCCATTGAGCTTTTCCTCCCAGCAACACACATTTTTAGTCTTCATATATTCCATACAAGCTTTATTAAATATAATCAAAGCAAGGAGAGATCAGTATGACTGGTCATGATTGTTTTTGGTAATTATTGCACAGCTAATGGCTATTAAAATCACTGCCTTGTTAACGTGCATCCTGCAGGAGGAAGTAGCTCTTGAAGGCACTAGTCTTGCTCTATTAAAACAAAAAATCCCCRAACATCTCCCTTTTTCCTTAGACATCCACATCTGCCATTGCCCGCTGTAGAGGATCAACAGACCAGTAGTCATCATCCCAGCCCAGGAACCAGCCCGAGAAGGTGGGAGGCTCAAACCCTTGCTTGACGAGGGTGACTGGAGTCCTCTTATCCCGGCTCGCAGGATCAGTCTCAATGTACCGTTTAGCTGTAAATACAAAAGGAGAAGAAAAGTCCCATGAGACCAACTCTTACCAAGCAGCAGCTGAGAAACACCTAATTAGAACTAAACACCTGTAAGGGATAGATACAGTTTTAGACCTTGTCACGTGCAAGTTTCATGAAAGTATTTCTAGTGACCATTACAACTTAAGTAGTAAAATGTGTATGAAACCACCTCACTTATAATCAGAGAGTAAGAAAACAAAAAAAAAGGTTTATTTCAAAGTGGAAAATGTGATGGCATTACCAGATTTCAAGGCCTCAGTCTTTTCTTCTTCCTGGGCATCCTTTCCAATCCATACAAAGACCTACAAAAAAGTCACATGAATTGGTTCASTAAGAATTTATGTATCAAAGAAAGTGTAAGTTAGGCAAAGACTTGCTAAGCAAAGACAAACATGATACAAATGTAACTAGAGCTACGGCTAGCAAGCAAGAAGTTTTTCCGCTGCAGTTTATCTGCATTAAATACTAGATCTATGAACAAATTATACACTTGCTTAACATTAGGAAGAACAAGCTCATTTTTGAACATTTTTACATAGAAGGGATAAAACATTCATCATTGTAAGTTGCCTTTTGTCCRGTTATGAACAGCCTATTGAATCTTAACACAGTTATCAATTGCTTGCGTGCAGCCAGGACAGGACAGGGATGCTTCTGTTAACAATTCACAGTCAGTAGACACAAAAGTCTGTTTTCTTCAGCTTGTAAACTAACCAACCAAACCAACTAACCAAAAGAAGTGACAGAACACCAACTATTTTTCTCAAATCCAGGTTGCAAGTTCTCTTCAATGTCATTACAGAAGTGATTTGTTCTCAGGCCTGATGCAAAGATGCATTAACTTCAGCAGCTGTTGTAATTTGAGTCTCTAGAGCCAACTATTGCTTATTCCTTGCTTCCCTCTTCTTTGGGTAAGTGTGACATACCTGGTCCCATGTGTCAAGGATCATAACATCATCTGTAGCAAGGTCTTCTTGAATCAGATCTCCTGGAACTTCTTCAATCTGGAAAATAAGGCTAAAAGATGAGCACATACTCCAAGCACTATTTTACCTCAGCAGGAAAAATGTGATTCACACAGGTTCTAGCATCACCTTCTGTGAATCTCAGTCTTTCACTCATGCACAAGATATTTAATGCTGCCTCTTTTAACTTGAAAGATTTCTGGTCAAAATCAGAGGAGTTTGAATGCTAGTTGTTAATGAAGGGAAGACCAGTTTGATGGTGCAGAAAGCTGTGCAGTGCTGTTGAGCTAGCTGCTCTACAGAAAGGTGGTGCTGATGCCTTCCTTCTAGAGGAAGCACTGCACCAGAGGGCAGGGTGCAATTGCCCACTGGCTGACTGAGGAKCAGACTGGGGCCGGGTTTCTGCCAGCCTTGCCAGGTGGGTGGTGAGGTCAGGATCTATGCAGACACTCACAGTGAAGCGCCCGCTCTTGTTGGAGCACGCAAAGAGACGAGGCGGGTGAGCGTCCATCTTCTTGTCCTTCAGCCGGGGAGACGTACGGTAAGCGGTTTTACCACCCAAAGCTGCCCAGAAATTGTCTGTGAAAGGAAACAAAACACTGATGATCCAACTATACATGGGATGCAAAGTAGCAGTAGCCAAGTGGCTTGGATAGGACCTGAAGGCTCCTCACAGCAGAATTGTTCATGTCATGCAGTTCGCTCTTAGGAAGGGCCTGTAAGCATGAGTATGGTGTTAAGCATAATGAAGATAATTTGGAGGAGCTGTTCTGTGCCTATGTTCACATCTTGTTCTAAGAGAAAATATCCTTAAAACAGCCAGCAATGAAGTGCAGGGGTATGAAAATAATCTCCAAGTCAGCTGTGTTTTCCTCACCTGGCTCTCTGCCCTCAGCAATCTGTACTGGGCGAGCTCCCAGAATCTTCAGCAGCTCTTGTGCTCCTGATTTTTCAGCATTGCTGGCTCCTTGACCAACCCAAAGGTAAGCAGCTGAGGGAGTTTTCAGGACAAAGGCATCATTGGAGTTCAGCTCACTGGCAGAAGGATCCAACTGAAAAGAAAGAGCATTGCATGTGTCATGGGTAACCATCCTGTACACAGAGCTCATGATTTCAAAATAATAAATAGTTCCTATTGTTGATAAATTTCAAACAAGATATCCAGTGCAAGCATGTAAGATAGTGTATATTTGTCTGAGTAGTTAGCTAGGAATAATCATACAAGAAAAGTAAATGAATGTGTGTTCCTGTAATCTGCACATACATGTGACATATGGTAAGAATACTCAGAGCTGTCATTTTGCCAGGTCATAATGGTCATGATCTAAGAACTTGCTGGAAAGACCTTTGTAGAGCAATATCTCTGCCAGCAAGGCTGATAAATAGCTAATTGACATAATTTCCACTACATCAGCAAAGATATGTCATCATGAAGCTAGAAAATTAGGAAGTGAGTGCAGATATAAAGCAGTGCTCCTTGCCTCACGCATTGCTATTGACCTGGATTTTTTTTTTTTTTTTTTTTTTTTTTTTTTTTTTTTTTTTTGTGGTTTTGTTATTTTTTTTTTAAAGACACAGGGCAAAAGTTCTATTTGCCTATAATACTGCATACAGGGCACACATCTGCGTGTGTGAGTCTTAAGAGAAGAGGGCTTAAATATAATCAAAGCAACACTAAGAAACCAATGAAAGCATAGTGATTACCATTACTTTCAATGGGAAAAGGAGAAGCTCTTAACAGTTTATAGGTATTTTGAAGAGTGTTTCAGTTTATATCAGAAAGTAGAACTAGCCTTTGTTGTATTAAAAAAAGACGGCGTTCCTTCCAGCACCACACACACATCATAAGATTTGGGTCCCTCCCCACATACCTCTACTGCTCTGGTAGCTCCCGAGGTGCTGGATCGGACCTGGAACAGTCGTGTTTCTGCAGGTGCTGTCTGGCCTCCTTCCCGAGAGGTTCCACCCTTATAAACAATCAAGGGCTTTCCACCAAACATACTCATCAGATGAGGTGGCTCTTTTCCTTGCACTACTCGTTTCTAAAGAGAAAAAGAAAAAAAAARTTACTGTCATTTTTAAGTGGATGGAGAATAGCACAAGAAAGTCACATGCCTTTTCTCTCCCTCCCATTTTAAATTAAGAATAAAAATAGATATCTTAGTCAATTCCAGGAATTTGCAGTCTGCATCAATACAGCTSTCCCTGCAAAGGGGAACTAAATATACTCAAGTGTTTTCTCTCCTTTCTCTTAGCAAGTTCTGTTGGCTGACAACAATTTGCACTAATTGGTGTAAAACAGTGTTTGTTAATTCCTRAGCATTAGTAATACTAGGTCACAGAAGGCTCACAGCCACTTGTGAGATATACAAAAGTGATGCATTCCCGATTTATTGACATTGTTGTCATTTACCTGCACAGGGCTGCCCCCCAGCTCCTCATCCAGCTGTACAGTGAGGAATGCAGAGGTTGTAATTTCATCTTGGGTRGAATCAGCACCCTGCCTGAAAGACAAGGCAAAATTTTAGGATCTTATTTTCAATACTTTTTCCTTATACCTTACAGAGATCAAGTAAACAAAAGTAAGGAAAATCTTGATGTTACTAAAACCCTGCAGCCTTGTACTGCCTGGAAAGTAACCCTAGCTCCTCCTCTAATCACTATGTTACTGTAGATAGTGGATTTCTCCAGTATCTACAGTAACACAATGATTAGAGGAGAAGATAAGGTGGTTTTCCAGATAAAAAGCACAGATTCCTTA